AAAAACACAATAAATCTATAAAGATAAGTTAAAAGTTCGATTGTAAATGCTCTAAAATAATGAATATTTTTTTTATTTACATTTTTAATTAAATACTTTTATTCATGCAAAAACAAGAATCATTATGATTGACATCTTTTTTTTTATTCTATTAGTATGAAAAGTAAAAATTTTAATATATTATGCAAATCTGCATACTTTTACTTAAAATTTGATGTTTCTAATGATTACAAAATTGAGAAATATATATTACAGCATGCAAAAATAAAATCGATCGAGAACTTATTTTATAAGTCTCAATTGAGTGAAAATATAAATATTATTTAAATAAATCATTTTTATATTCAGAGTGATCTGTTGTCCCCCCCCCCCTTTTTACGTGGTTTTTCATTTTAAATATTTAAACACAAAAAAAAGGCCTGTTTAACTAAAAAGGTTATTGCACCTCTTTTTTTTTTAAATATAATTTTTACAACATATCTAAAACAACTTTTTAAAGTTGAGTATTAAAAAGAGGAAATTCAATTTACCTGTACCAAAGCAAAGGCACTGGAATTGTTCCCAAATGCCAGAGAGCATGAGCATCAATTATAAATTTCCACGGAGGAAAATCACAAAGTTCCAACAACAATAAAAGATTTACTGCTATAACAGAAACTGCACATTTCCACACATAACGCTTATGACGATATTTGTAGCACCACATTAACCAACCACAGGAATTTAACAAACCTAGATGTAAATGGAAAATATTGCAAATTAGTATATAAAAAAACTAAACTCAAACATTATTCACTTATAATATATTGGCTGTTACGTTTGGTGAAAAATTTAACACTTTAATAGGTGCAAATTACATGCAGTAATACTTTTTTATAAAGGAAAAAAACAATTTTACACTAAAAATACTTTTAAAAAATCTCAAATTTAAGTCCTATTAAGTATTTTGTTTCTTTCCACATAGACAAATTTCATTATAGAATGTAAACTTTTAAATAAAAAAACTTGCAACTTTTAGTACAACAAATGGATTATAAGGGTTGCCCTAATAAAAAGTGGTCAAGTTGGATAAAAAGAATACCTTTATTGGAATTTAAAATAAATTGCCTTGGACATTGTACCACAGGTCTCATTGTTTTGACAGTAGGTCTATGTCTTTTCAGTAGAAAGTAGGTCGATTCTCGAGGAAGTCCTGCATAGCTTTCTTCACCTCATCATCTGAATGGTAACGTAATGCTCTCTTAAGCGGAAAAAAGTGAGAAAGGTTTCAAGAAGACAAATCTGAACTGTATACAGTGGATGTTCCAACCCCTTTGAACAGAATTTTGTTAAGGGTGTCTGAGCTGGCATTGTCATGGAGCTCTGGTATTGTTTACCCTCCTTCCCGAAAACTTTAGCACCAATTGTCCAAACTAAGCAGTGCTCACCATAGACTGAGCCCATTCGATGATAATTACCTGCATTCAGCTCAACTTCCACAGTAAGAAATCATACTACTGCGCACTACTCTGATATGGACGCAATCTATGAGAAGCACAACATTACTTTTGAACTAGTCAAAATTGATTTGATTTCCTCTACCAAGAACATCATTGCACATCGTATGTGATGCACACCTCCTACCTCCCTTTATATCCATGTTCAGTAGTGCAGCTATAGCTGCAATTATTTTGACACTTGTCCACTTTTCATTCGTGCAACCCTTATATATTAGCATGTACCTCCTACATTAATTTAAAAAAAAAAACTGTGGGACACAATTTTTGAAGTGTTATCTATCAAAGAAAGAAATACAAAACTCTGGCTAAATATTAGAGCATTTTAATAAATTGATTCAAATACATTAACAATTCAAACTGCTTTCTTGCTTTTCAATCCAGAATCATTCCCTCATTACATAACAATTGACTAACAATTTAATACAACTTAAAACAAACTATAAAAATATAATATTTTAATATTAAATTTGTTAACTAGTTGGATAAAAAAAATGTTCAAAATAATTTATAAGAAAATTATTTAGAAAAACAAAAGCACATTATAAAAAATAAGCTACAAATATTAAAATAATTAAAGGTGTAAAAATTTAATTAAAACATAATTTTATAAAAAACTTATAAAGAAATTAAAAATTAGCATTAAGCTGAAGGAAAAATACAACAGAAAAGATGTGCTACTTTAGAAAATGGTTCTTTAAAAATTAAATTGATAGTCTATTTAGATATCTATGAAAATATTTGAATTTTAAATCTTATTTAATGTAAAACTCAAGTATTTTGTACAGCTATAGCCTATCTTTTTATCATTGCCAGTTATCCTAGAAAAATATTTTTAAAGATGTTCTCTAATATAACTAACCATATAAAATGGTTTATTGTATATTATTTCAAAATTTAATTATATTTCTTAATTTGGAATGGATACAATTTTTGACATATAACAACTTTTAAAAGACTGAAACAGTAGACATATTTAAAAATATTCTTTTTAATTAACTTTAAAAAAAATTAAATTCCCAAAATTTTTTTTTTCTATTTTAGAATGATTAATGTCAATTTTACTTTTTCTTAACAACAATAAAAAGCTCCCCCCTCCCCTTTCATTTATGTAGTTTTCAACTAAAATCAGTCATCCACTAAATTAAATTCTAAGTCAAATAGGTATTCAAATACTTAAGATTTTTTTTTCAAGTAATACAAAAAACTTACCAATTATGATATTAGCTTTCATATTATATCCATAATCAAATCGAATATAAGAAAGGTAGTAGATGTGATAAGCAAAATAAGATAAAAATGGCACAGCAATAAATAAGGGTAACCCTGACTTTTGACTACAATATACCCTGCAAATAAAAACTAAATTAAACAATAGGTTTAAACATATAAATTTGTAGCTGAAGAAAAATATATCACTTTATTTTGCTATTTTTAAATTAAAGTCTTTTTGGATTCAATGCATCCAAATATCTCATCTACAGATACATATATTCCCTATTCATATAAAAATTAAATTCAAAATTGATTTATATAAACAATTTTTTTTAAAAAAAATTCAGTCATATATTTATACAATATAGAGCATGGCATTATATTTTAAAGTAAAATAACTTGTTTATCCTAGTCACAAATAATATGAAATTTTCTTACCTTACAATTAATGAATAAAAAGAATAGAGAACCATGGAAAAAGCACAGAAATAATCAAGTTTCTATAAAAAAAAATTGTTTTATTTGAATGCTTTACAGAAAAACTAAATTGCAAGTTGTGCAACAGATAGAAAAAGGGACAATGTTATATAATTTAAGCTTAAATATACATACAGTTAATTATATAAATTATATGCCCAATATTAATTTTATACACATATATAGATATTTAAACTTAGACAATAATAATTCCAAACAAGGATAAAGAATAAAATAGAATTAGAAAACAAGAATAATGCAATGTTATTTGTTCTTTTCTGATAAATAATTTTAAATCAAAATATTTTAAGCAATCAGTAGGTCAAAAGGGATATTGCAGAGCAAATTTATATTACACAAAATTTTTTAAGAAAAGTAGACCACTGAAGGATTTTATACTGTTGTTGTGTGTGTGAATAGCAATATTCTCTAAAAAGTCAAATAATATTTTACTAAATTTTGATGGATTTTTTTCCCACTTACTTACAGTAAATTACTCATTTATAAATCAAAATACATATCTGCTCAATTTTTAGTTATTGAACTAATTAATATAAACACCAAAATTTTAAAAAACAAAAAAACCATTACAAACAAAAAAAAAAGTTCCATATAAATCTATAAGCAAAATAAAAAGACATCTTTTAAAAATATGTGATGCATTTATAAATTTAAATTTATTTTATATTTATAAATAAATATCTTAAAATACATCCACAATTTTTATTTTTACATTATGAACAAAAACACAAATAAGTAATATAATAAAACATTTAATACAGAAGTCTAAGTAAATTTTAATTAGTTAATATTTTAAGTAAATTTTAAATTATTTTCTTTTACTTTGATTGTCTTTATAACACAATATTTTACATAAAATGATAAAAACAAAAAATTTTATACTCTCAAAAGATAGTAAAAATAAATGAACCTTTGCAATCCAAAATATATTAAATATACATTATTATCATGGAATGTATGTATTTTTTACAAATAATGATTCAATATTGAAAATTTAAAAAAAAAAAAAAACCATTTAAAATCAGTAAAATTATTTATAAAAAAAATACTTACTTCTGTTAAGGGAATATCTCTAGTATGGAAAACAGCAGACCAAAACCAAGCATTGATAGATAGCTAAAATTTTTAATACAAATAAGAACAAAATTCAAATATTCTATAGAAGTATCCAAAATCTCATAACAGAACAATTACAAATATTACATGTGCTGCTTTTTTTTTATAAAGTATAATTTCTATAACTAGTTTACTTTCATATGTTATAAATTCATTTCATAAATAATTTAGAAGAATAAAAGTTTGAATAAGTATGTAAATTATAAAAATGCAATTCTCAAATAACCTGTGATTTTAATCTAATGCTGAAAAAATAAAAGTAATTCATTGAGATTTTACTGCAAAATATAATATTATGGAGAAGATAGAGACATTTCATCTCTGATCTTTATAATATATTAATTTTCATCTTTGATTATTCCAAGAAAAATAATGTCATAAGAAAACAAGTAATATAAAAAAAATTTTAAGTCAATTCCTACTTAGGACAACAAAGAAAATTTTTATTTTAGCTACTTTTTATTATATAGTTACAACTAATATAAATATGTATATGTCTGAATCACAATATTAAGTGACAAAATAAAAAGTGATTTTCCTAGCAATTTTCCATTTTCCTTTCTAGATGGTGTTGGACTATTTTTTTTGTTTGTGTTGCAATTTATTCAATTATTAAAATTAATTATTCTAATAAAAGTATAGTAAAAAAATAAATCACATTTTCAGAAATTAGGCCATCCCGGTGGGATTCAAACCCGTGACCCTTGGATTAGAAGTCCAACACACTATCCATTGTGCTACTGGGACACATAGAAAAAAAAAATCGGTCAAAAAAATCAAATCTAATTTTTTTAATCTTAATTATTTTTTATATACTTTTCTACAAACTCACAAAATTTGGAAGCTCTAAGCACAAAGTTATGATAATTTTCACATTTGTTTTTATTCACATTCCAATGGCAAATCAAAACTTTAAACTAACTTATCTCAGAAAGATAAAATAACTAGTTTGTCTTCATTTAAAATGCTAAGGCTTTTTTTCTATTGTACTTAGTATGTGGAAATTTTTTTCACTTGTTGCTAATAGTACATGGAACAAAAGTTGGTATGCATTTTTCATCAAAGCAATATTTATTTTTTAAAAAATAATTGAAGTTAGAATTTACATATTTTTTAAGGAATTTTTAAAAAACATTCATAAAAAGAAGTATTGTATGAATGCCAATAATGTTATAACAAAATCCGTACCAACTTTTGTTATAGATAGTTTAACGTACTTATAAATCAAATTCCATATACATACGTCAATTTTTGTAGGAGGAGTAGCATTTTAAAGTCCCTTCATAAATTTCAAGTTTTTCCCTTAAAAAATTAAATGGTTATCTTTTTATGAAATTTTGAGCACAAGATCTGTTTTACATCATACATAAAATATGAGGCAACCAAAAAATTATGAAAATCATTAAATTAACAAACTTTGTATAAATCGTACCATGTCACCTTAAGTGACAAAATAGAAAGCAATTTTTCTTGCAATTTTCCATTTTCCTTTCTATACATGGTATTGGACTAATTTTGTTTGTTTGTTACTATTTATTCATAAATTAAATTTAATTATTCTAATAAAATAGTACAGTAAAAAAGAAATCACATTCTCAGAAATTAAGCCATCCCAGGTGGGATTTGAACCCATGAACTTTGGATTAAAAATCCAACACGCTATCCATTGTGCTACAGGGACACAATGAATGATTTTCCTTTCTATATATGCTGTTGGACTATTATTTTTGTTTATTACTATTTATTCATTTTTTAATTTAATTAATGAATTAATATTTGAAAAAACTGTATTAACATCAAGTGTCACCCACTACAAGTTTAAAAAAATGCATTTGACGAATGAATAGACGAATAGAAAATATTTTATTAACAATTGAAAACCTGAACAAGATATATATCCTTACTAATATTATAAATGCGAAAGTTTGTATGTATGTTTGTTTGTTTGTTACTCTTTCACGTAAAAACAGCTGAATGAACTTTAATGAAACTTTACAATAATATAGCTTATATACATCAGAATAACACATAGGTCATAATTTATAAAGATATTGTGTGAAGTGTCCAAAATATAATGATAATTGTTAAATAAGAAGGAAAAAATTCTACCTGCTGCAAGCTATTCTGGTGTGCACTGCAAAAAAAAAAAAAAACAACGACAGCATATATCTATTTTTTAGGTGTGAAGCAAAACTTTCCCTTTTTGTTTTGTCAATGCCAGGTGCTGGCTTCTAATTTATTGCTTTGATCAGTGTAATCACTATTTTTTTTTATTTCAGAATAAAACTAGATTTTGAAGGGAGAGGTTGTGTTAAGTCTCTCTTTATTTGAATAGCTACTATTGATTATTCTTTCATGTGTAAGCCATTATCACCAAAATAGTGAACCATAAATAAATAAAAATTGATAATTTATTTCTATGCACGTTTTTTTTATGATTTTACTATGCACATTTGGTAATAACAAATTGATCCTTATATCAAAAATACTTTTATCGCTTCTGGTATTTAAAGTAGATAAACTTTAGTCTTTCACACTATATCATTTGGACAAATTTGCATAATTTGCTTGTGGTTAGTAGTTAGTTATAATACTATAATTTTAATTGAATAGGCAGTTATTGCATTTTTTAAGTATAAAAATAATAATTACTGTACCGTATTTTTTAGAAGTGTAGATAAAGTACCTACTAAGAATTATGCCGTGAAAGCTTAAGTCTAACCATTCCCTAGCAATGAAATTAGCAAGACAATTGCCAACTTGACTCTATCGCCAACATTTTGCTATGTTTCCATTGAATCACTATTACAATTTAAGGAATGGCGTTGCTTGCGAATATCACAATTTTAACATAAAATAAATACAACAGAAAGTAATATTAATGTATTATTCTTCCAGATATAAATTATTTACACTATTTTAAGCATTAATTACACAAAATTTATAACAATGTGTTACTTTTGCTGAGCTGAGATCAGTTTAGCAAGGTGTTTTCAAAAATCGACCCACAAGAGAGTTACGGGGAGTTATAAATAAGAAAAAATCCTTTTTATCAGCTATTAGATCTGCAGACTTAAAATTTAACAAATATGGTTGGGTTTTTTTTTTTGTTCAGCTGTGATATGCAAAAAGCTTTTTTTGTGTGTGTTTATTTTGCAATTCACATAAGATTAACGCATTAAAAACTTCTTTATCCTTCAAACTGTATTGTTTCATTTTTCAATTCACCCGTGTGAAGAACGGGTATACCAGCTAGTGTATGTATATATAGGGAGAGAAGTGAACTAATAGTAGGAATTTGAAAACTACTCCATCTCTACCTACAGCCAAAAAGAATAGTTAGAAAGAAATTAATTTCAATTCTATGTAAAATTTCCCTACAATGTGTATTTATTAGATTTTAGTCCCTAGAGCAGTGTTACTATTTAGGAGGGTACTTTCTAACTATCTGCAACTTGAACTGCAATATTTAGTAGCACTATATAGAAAGCTTTAGTGTTCTTTCAAGTACGTTTAGAAGTAGTCAAACTAAATCATGTAGAAGACATCCTATACCAAAAAGATATGCATTTCTTCACCATTATAAATATTACATTTAACCATTTAAGTAACTTACCATAAAATCTGGCGAAAAATGCACACTTTGAACACAAAAAATAAGATCGAAATTTACGGGTGCACGGTTATACACCGGGTATAAAAATTATAGCTTCAAAAATAAAAAAAAGAGATGTGCATGAAAAAACTTAGACTTCTACAAAGATCGAATTATTTGAAAGAAATGTCATACCTTATGAAATTAAAGAGTTGTTTTTCTAGAAATATACTCTATTTTCAAAATCCTTGGATAATACATTGAATAAATGGCTTTAAAACATAATAGCATTGCCAACTTACATTGAAGGCCCCTTCATAAGAAAAGGAGTGCGTGTTAGATAGTGAATATACCATAAAATTAAAAAATGTAGCTTGAAAGTATAAGTGCATATTATATGCTGGATTTTTTTGGAAGTTCATAACTGGATCTCAGAAGAGGGTACAGAAAGGAATCAAGTTATTTACTACATAAAACAGTTTCTCTAACATTTTCAAATTAATTGAGACAGTTAATGGGTATGGGTGATGCACCTCCTAATTTTGAACAAGGTCAAATGACGAAGACAACACCTGCATTAGCACATCAATTTCCTTATCCAGTCCACACCAATCAGAATACTTTCAGCCTTGACAGATTTAATGTTCATCAGAGAAACAACACCAGCCACAAACTTGCATCCATGATCATTTGGTAATAGTATTTAAATTTTTTTTCAAGTAAAAAAATCTCTAAAACCTTTGTCTGTCACCATACAATTAAACTACAATTATATTTTATGATTGAACTATTTATGCTTCACAAATTCTCTTTTTGATAGTACAAAAATGTTAGTAAGGCAGAACTTTCACATTGATTTATTTAAAAAAAGTATAATTTAATTTCGCCAGATTCACGATGATTCATTTTGAAAATTCTGATTTTTTCAACTGTTAGAAAGTCGAAATTATACTCCTTTTTTGAATCTGGCATGGCTGAGCAGTATGTTAGCAGATTTTTCAATAAGTTGGGGTAGTTTGGAAAAAAAAATTAATTTCGTCTTTCACTAAATAAAAGGGTAGTCTTATTTTAAAGAAGTTTCAAAATGATTTCACCTTTAACAAACACAAGGAGCTTTTATAGTCATTTTTTTTAACCTCTTACATAAATTTGGATATTTGAAAAATAATTAGAAGTTACTATCATTTCTGAAAGAAATATGCACTGTTGTAAGTTTGTTATAATAGAGAATTTGTTGTCTTGTTGACCACAGAATATCATCAGCATATATTGCACAAGTCAGCATATTAAAACTTTACAATATCATTGGCATTGAAGTTGAATAAGGTTGATTTTAGAAGCGAACCTTATACGATTTTGGTTAAAGCATGGTTTCCTAAATCAAAAACAGATCAAGATTCAGTTCAATTATAGTCTCTGAATTCCAGTATTTTAAAACATGATTTGTTTGCATTTCAGAGATGATTAGAAATTGCAAAGCCTTACACAGGGATTTTATTCAGAAAGAGTTACTTCACAAAGACTACAATAGACTCTAATAATTATATAAACTAAACTAAGAGGTGCTAAAGCCTACTGTGCCCATCTCAGTTTTCGTGACTTTGGGCACTGAGGTGCATGAGAAGATGTTCTGGTCAGGTAGTCAGTTTGACATAAAACCCCCTTTCCCAAGCAAGCTTGGTTCTCATTTATTGACCCACTGGAGGGATGAAAGGCCGAATCGACCTAGCCCAGCCTGAGGTTTGAACCCCAGACCGGTGGCATGGAAGTGCAATGCGCTAACACTCAGCCACTGCATTTCAAACAATTATATAAGTAATATTAAAATCTGAAAATGTGAAAAGGGGAACACAAAGTCCTTTTTTAGAAAAAGCTCTATAATATAATTTAACATCAAATTTGAGTCATTTATTATTGAAAAAGATCTACGAAGTAGAAAAGCATTTGTTTTAGTATTGCTAAAAGATACGAATTTCAAATAACAGACCGCTAGGTTTTAGTTTCATTTTGCATAATACAGATTAGAGGATAAACTATAGTAAGTAATTTTTTGAGTTGTTTGCTTCCTGACTGTAAAATTCAATAGCATACACAAGGGGGAAGTTTTAGGGGTCCAAACCTCTTCCATACACTTTTAACTTTGAGCATAAAG